GCAGGCGGGCATAAACGCCCCTTATTTAGACATGCAATGGAACAACAATAACATGTGTAATCATTCGCCAGCTGGGACGACAAAAACGTTTAGCTATGTACAACAATGAGGCATTTTTAATGACTTCTCAAACGCAGCATTTCAAGAGGGGCCCCGCACAGTAATCGCAATTAGAAAGAAAGATTAACAATAGAGAAAGAGAGAGAGAGAGAGAGAGAAGGAGAGAGCGAAGCAAAAAGTAAACACTAATAATTTGCAATGTGGCTGTTAAATGTTCAGTTTTGTCACAAATTACCGAATGGAAATAAGCTTGTGAGTTTTAGCTTGTGACGTCAGCGCGTGACTAAGGTAGATAAAATACCAATGAGCACAGTTCTTCAATAAATAAATTGAATAATTGACAATACGACAAAGCAGCTAGCTAAAATATTGTTTATCTTATCAAGCATGAGACTGATATATATATGTGTGTGTGTAGTATGAATACTCAGCCCGAGGCTGTTCAAAGATAATCACAAAATGTATTTCAGAAAGATCTGTCACTTTCAATTAGGAATAACTACATGTAACTCCAGTTGAGGGCCTGATATTTAGGAAGTGACATATTCTTGGCATGCGTATGTTATACAAGAACCTGCATACAAAAGTTGGTGTCTCTAGCTCATATAGTTCTCGAGATATGTTCACAAAATGTATTTCAGAAAGATCTGTCACTTTCTATTAGGAATAACTACATGTAACTCCAGTTGAGGGCCTGATATTTAGGAAGTGACATATTCTTGGCATGCGTATGTTATACAAGAACCTGCATACCAAAGTTGGTGTCTCTAGCTCTTATAGTTCTCGAGATATGTTCACAAAATGTAATTCAGAAAGATCTTTCACTTTCTATTGGGAATAACTACATGTAACTCCAGTTGAGGGCCTGATATTTAGGAAGTGACATATTCTTGGCATGCGTATGTTATACGAGAACCTGCATACCAAAGTTGGTGTCTCTAGCTCTTATAGTTCTCGAGATATGTTCACAAAATGTATTTCAGAAAGATCTTTCACTTTCTATTAGGAATAACTACATGTAACTCCAGTTGAGGGCCTGATATTTAGGAAGTGACATATTCTTGGCATGCGTATGTTATACAAGAACCTGCATACCAAATTTGGTGTCTCTAGCTCTTATAGTTCTCGAGATATGTTCTCAAAATGTATTTCAGAAAGATCTTTCACTTTCTATTAGGAATAACTACATGTAACTCCAGTTGATGGCCTAATATTTGGGGAGTGAGTGGGGAGTTACACGAGAATGTACATTCCAAAGTTGGTGACTCAAGCTCTTATAGTTCTCGAGATATGCGCAAAAGTTTGGAGCTGGCAAGCAATATTTATCGACTATACTCTTTTGAAAGAAAATGCAGTTAGCTTCAGCAGAGAGCAGCAATTGAATTAGGTTGGGGTATTAGTTTATTTTTATTTTTCCATCTTTTTGTACTCTTTAATTTGTGTTTGTGTTGCTTGCATCGGCTTGGCCCCAAAGCATATCAAATGGCCGCAGCCCAGCCCAAGTCGGCCCAACCCGACGCCCCTTTAAGGCGACCCAAAAAGGGGCTCGAGCAAGAAGAAGACAAAATGTCAGCACGAGTGAAGCGAACGCTAACGACATGTCAACTACTGTTAGCTGCGGTCACGTTGCCATTGCCATTGCCATTGGCCATGGCCATGGCCCCCACTCTGGGCCTCCTCGGGGCTGCAGTCTGAAGTCAGTCGGCAAACTGGAAATAGTCACGGCGCACGCTCTACGCCCACCGAAAATGGGCAGACAACAGAAACAGCAGCGTGATCAGCGGCTAGTTAAGGCCGAGACCGAGACTGAAGCCGGGGCCGGGGCCGGAGCCGGAGCCGGAGCGAAAGCGGCTGCGACCGCAAATGTTGTTGTGCCAAAATGAGAACGAGCTAAAGAAAATAAAAGAAAGGAAAACAGATAGTCGAAGGGAACGAAGCAACAACAACAGCAACAAAATAAATAAAAGCACAGTCGAAGAACCTATTCAAACTATGTAACTGATGAGCTTATACGGTCACACTCTGTTCAATTATTTGGAGAGTACACTGAGAGAAGAGCAACAATGTGACCAGTTAGTTAACTTATTTCATTTATTTTCTTAGTAGGAAAATACTAAATACATGCTCTAGCCCGTGGTTCGAACCAGCACCCTCCCTCCTGTTATTAGAAATTTTTGCTAAACTGAAAGGTGTCTAGAAATTGAATTTATATTTTTCTGTTAAACTTGAACTCTGAAAAAGCCTAGAAAAAAGTTACATTAAATTTTGAATATATTTTATATAGTATGCTATTCATTAGTTAAGAAAAGTGATTACCTGATAAAGTAAAAATTCAAAATACTGTACTTTTTACCCGTACTTATATAAAATATCTGTCTAATTACAGACTCATCCAACTTAGAGATATGTACCAAAATCTCCCGATTGTGGACTAATTTCTGTTCAGTATAAAATCAGCTAACGAGAAAACGGAAAAGTGCTCTCATTATCAAGCGGTAAGTGGCTATATAACTGTACTATATATCTATTTTAGCGATTTGCTAATAGATGCTTGAGACTTTATCTAACACATAAGCATATACATATATGAAATGTGGAATGCGTCTGTTTGATAATAATACAGTGGGTGCTCGCTAATTGAAACGCGGCGGGTTTAAAGCTGATTTTAGTATACAAAACAATTCGGATTTCAAGAAGTCTTTTCTTTATTATAAAGGAAGTACTTCTCCAGGTTCTTTAGATATAATATACAAAAAATAAAAGAAGTACTTCTCCAGGTTCCTTAGATATAATACAAAATATAAAATAAGTACTTCTCCAGGTTCTTTAGATATAATATAAAATATAAAATAGGTACTTCTCCAGGTTCTTTATATATAATACAAAATATAAAAGAAGTACTTCTCCAGGTTCCTTAGATATAGTAATATACCCAAAAGAATAGAAACAATAGGGCCGTAATTCAAGGAATTAAGAATTTCTGGAAGACCCAGTCCATACGTTTGTTTACCCTGTGAGCTTGTTATCGCAACCAAAAATTCCCAAAGTTGATATAGAAAATTGCCACAGGCGACTTAAATTAACTCGAGCAACTAAAGTGTGCACGCTGAGCGATTACCTAATTTCACTCGTCCGTTCACTTTGATTGCGATTAAGAGTCTCAGACTCTGAATCTTGGGTTTAGATGAATCGCTGACACACATTCACCAGCGATTTGAGTGAATCACAAATGGGCATTCGCGTTTTGAGAGCTGTGAATGGTTTCGTGCACCTGCGACTATTTGAGTTAAATTCTTTAATGGATGAAACACGTTTTCAATAAATATTTATTCATTATCGAATATCAAATGAATTTTTGCATCGATTTTAAGAACTAATTGATTGAGGACAGCAAAAATTGTATAAAGTAGTTTTTCACCAATATTCCACCCTAATGGGTGAAGCTTTTGTAAAAGCTCAGCCTGGTAGCTAGCTCAGGTGCATCATAACAGGTAACTACTGTGGCAAATGCAGCACGCTTGATCAATCAATGAATCAATCAGTCAGTCAGTTAGTCATTCATTTTAATTAAATATAATACATATTAGTATATAGATTGGAACTTACGTTTTGGATACAAAGGTGGGCGACACTTGGCCGTTTCAGCATTGTTGTTGTTGTTGTTGTTGTTGTTGTTGTTGTTGCCATTGAGACTGCTTATGGCATGGGCCACGACGCTGCCCTCAGCTGCTGCTGCTCCTCCTCCTCCTCCTCCAGTGGTTGCCTGCGACAGCGACGGCGGCTGCGTTTGTGGCAGCGGCGGCGGCTGTTGTTGTTTCATGGATCCGCTGCCGCCCAACGCGCCGACGCCGCCGCCGCTGAAAAGGCGACGCTGCTGTAGAAACGCCGTTTTGTCTGCCTTTGTCCCGCTGCTTCTTATTGTTATTTATTTATGTTTTTTGTTTTTGGGATTGTGCAAAATTTGACGCTAAACGTTCTACTGCAATAGTTAAATGTTTATTGTTGGTTCGGCTGCTTATCAGCGATCGAGATAAATGTGTGTACACATGTAGGTGTACGTGTATGTGTGTGTGCTGTGCAATAGAGTTGCTGCGCGAGTGCGAAAAGGAAAGCAAGTATTGCAAAAAAAAAATAGTATGTGGACTTTTAAGGTTTCACACACACACACACACGCACACATCCACACAGCTGGCCTATATTTACGTCCTGCTGACACCGTTAAATGCGTAATTGAAAACGAATTGCGCTCAATGAGCGCCAAAGCAACAACAACAATAACAGCAGCAGCAAACTAACGGTGCTTTGGGCAGCTGTTTCTTGCAGTCCTCTTTGCGCTGCCAGCCGCTGCCTGCAGCAGCGGCTTCACCTTGACCTACACAATTACAATAATAATCGAGCGCAGCCTGAACAGCTCTACACAAACACACACAGTAAAAAAATATTAGGTTCAATTGAAATAAAATCACACGCAGATCTGTTATAAAACAAACAGAACTAACACAAACTATGTATATCCGTTGCACTTTGCTTTCAAATACCTTTCCACTCGAGCAACAATGTAAAACACAACCAAACCGCGGGTAGTGTAACTGACTATTGTGGGACTGAAATGGGTATTGCATATGTTAGCCCATAAGCGGGCACACTGCCTAATGTAAAACTCAATATGACACTGTTATGTTAACGTTTCTGTTAACTTAAACATCAATTATATTATTCCGCATTAACATGCCATTCACAGATAGGCAGTGAATATTTTGGCGCCAAACTACAATATTAATAAATAATAATTATTTTGAAGTCAACTGTGCTGGGTCAAGTAGTTCAAAATTGTTTAATTTATTTAAGTCAATTTTTCTATAATGTTTATGTGCATTGGACAAATTTATCGCAACGGATGCCGATAGTGGGGAGTGTTAGTTAACGATATTTTTCTTACAATACATCGCCGAACTAGTAATTGAACTGATATCGATATAGAAGACTCCAGAAAACATCGATACAGAATCATTGTGAAATCGGTCCCCGTTGGATACACATCGTGTTCTCCGTGAATATTCTAAAAAACTAAATAAATTATACATTTACGTCACGGTGAGTGGGCATTTACATTTATTTTATCAAATATATTGTTAGCCACATTTGTTTGGTGTTAAATGGTGAAAGTGCCCACGTCGATGCTCTCAGTGTCGCAATTAGTGTGTGACATAGTAATTTGTTTTGTTTTTTGATGTGGGGGGCTCCTTTGAACGGCCGGCGGAGCACCACTTTTCGTGCTAGCTTAGCTTTTTTTTTAATGGATACACACAATGCGACAGCGACTGCGGTTGATGGTGACTTCGTTTGCACGACGGGTGCATGGGCACACTTTAGTGTGGTGTACTTGTTGTTGCGTTTTCAAAATGGCGGCCATTGCAGACAATTTGAGGAAAAAGTTTATAATAATTACAAAATATTTATCCAACAAAAACAGTTGTTTGAGTGTTGTTCAAATTGAAAAGAAAAAAATGAGCGCGCAGATGTTTGTGTGTTTGTTTAGTTCGATTTATAAATACTGTACTTTTGATTATGACATATCAACTTGATTCTGGCCAACTTTTATTGTTATTTTCGTTATATTTAATTGTATGTGTGTGTATACTGGCGCTCGACACACAAACACACACACACATCCATACACACTGGTTGTGACACATGCGCATGAACTTTTGAGCATGCGTTTGTATGTGTGTGGGCTTGTTGGTTTTTGTGCACAAATGGTACAGCGTTTCTTCTAACCCCAATTACTGCAATTTCGGCATATCTACATGCATGTATGTATGCATGTTGCATTACACCCCCACACACACACAGCTGCATTTTGTCATTAGGATGTGCAGCTGTTTCATACGCACTAGCAAGATGCGATATTGTTTTGCGCGCGTTTAATGCGAACGACGCAATTTTCGGTTAGGCACCTTTCGCTCCCTGTGTACAGCTCTCTTTTCTTCTATCCCGCTCGCTCTCTGTCACATCTATTGCTATAAACGCGCTGTTTTATGCACAATATTGCCAGCCCGTTTGCACATTTGGCATTCAAATGGGCGCCAAGTCTTCGTGTTCCTTTATATTGCTTACTAATATTGTTATGACATAGGCAATGCACAAAAGGAAGCACCTGCGTACATATATGCATGTATACATTTGCGCATGCATACTTGCTAAAACACACGTATGTATTCGTGATCACCAATATTGGCATGGCACAATATGCATATGTAAATGCAAGCTGTGTATGTATGTACGTGCATATACATATTTACATACATGTATATGCGTCGTTTGTGCTGTGTATTCATAGGACATTCGATGCATTGCGGTTTTTGTTTAGGAGTAGACGCTGAACATATCATTAAAACACTTCAGTTGTGGTATTTATTCTAATATGCTAACAATTTTAATTGTTAAAAACGAAGTTCAGATTCAATAAAAATTCCTATATTAGAACATGAACTGATTTTCCAAAGGATTGTGTCTATCAAAATGATATTTTTCTTAATATTATTTCTAGCTTGAGCTATGTATCTATATCAAGATATTTATTGAATATAGAAAATATATATAGACACATTCATTAATAGGCATCATCACGGCATACTTTCAAATTCATGCATGGGTATGCAAGTTTTCGATGCCCACAAAAAATATCGATGCTTTTTGTTGTTGCTTACTCGAGTGGCGTTTACCGTTTATTGCGGGCCTCCTAGAAAGTCTTGTGCATATTTTCCAAGCGAATGCGTTGAGTGTATGTGTGTGTTAGTGTGTTCCAGTATTTGTGTGTGTAGGTCTAAAACTAAAAACTACAACTCATTACTTCAACTTGATTGATTCTGCGCGCATAAAAAGCAAAACGAAAAATTCACGACGCTCGAGTGGCATGGCACAAAAAAAAAAAAATAATAATGAAAAATAAAAGAAAGGCTGGGGCGAGAAAAAAAAGCGATTCATGCCGAGCTCAAGGCACACAACAAAAAAAAATGTATGCACTCACACAATGGCTCAAGTGGGCACTCAAAGCTGTGGGCTGCCGCACAGTCGCTGCAGCAACAGCAGCAGACGGGGACGACGACGACGACGTCGCAAGTGAAGTGGAAGTTATGAAGTGTTCCCAGAAAGCAGCCCAATGCCCAAACCAAATACAAAGCTTAGGAAAACGCACAGCACGTATCCGAACAAAAGGAAAATTTCTGCAGCTGCTGTGAAGCTAAAGATTTCAACCCTCGTCTTTTTGGCGCTGCTGCTGCTGCTGTTGCTGCCTTCGTTGCAGCCACAGTTGGCACATTCGCATCAGTCGCGCGCCAGCGCTTCGGCGCTGAGCGTCGCATTTGTGCCCAGCTCTCTCTCACGACAGAAAAACCAGTGCAGTGGAATCTAATCTACAAATTTCTTGCAGCTCATTAAGTGAAAATGGCACGTACCAAGCAGACCGCCCGTAAATCGACTGGAGGCAAGGCTCCACGTAAGCAGCTGGCCACCAAGGCAGCCCGCAAATCGGCACCGTCCACCGGCGGCGTTAAGAAGCCCCATCGTTATCGTCCCGGCACCGTTGCTCTGCGTGAGATTCGTCGCTACCAGAAGTCCACTGAGCTGCTTATCCGCAAGCTGCCCTTCCAGCGTTTGGTGCGTGAAATTGCTCAGGATTTCAAGACCGATTTGCGTTTCCAGTCAGCTGCCATTGGTGCTCTGCAGGTTAGTAACAGCAACAATATCGAGGTTTCCACAATCGACAGTCTCAAACGTTTCGCTCTCCAATTGCAGGAAGCCTCCGAGGCCTACTTAGTGGGTTTGTTTGAGGACACCAACTTGTGCGCTATTCATGCCAAGCGTGTCACCATTATGCCCAAGGACATTCAGTTGGCGCGTCGCATTCGCGGCGAGCGTGCTTAAGCGCAGCAAACACAAAAAACATCAACAAAAACAAACAAACATAATACAAAAAAATCACATTCATATTATATACACAAGCAGCATAGTAATTTGTTAAACGAACCGAAACAAAATCAGTTCACTAATATTCGTCAATTGGAGCTTGATTTCATTTATATCTTACACAAACATATACATAAATATAAATACTATATACATATATGTAGCATTATAATTGTATAACCACACACAAAACAAAACAAAAGAGAATTCAGAATAACGTGCATACTTATGCTTCGATTTATTATACATACATATATAAACATAATCTATGAATATTTTAATTAATAACTGTAACTCTTATTATTATTATTGCTATTATTAAAAATTTGTATATTAGTTTTTAAGTTTGTGGCTCGCCCGCTGCTCGCATTGCGTTGGTCGACGCCATCAAATCCGATCCCAAGATAGATGCCGTTGCAATGCCAGCCGTTGGCATCGCGCTGCCGTCTCCAACATCGCCCTAACGAACTCCAACAGCGCATGCAACGTGTTGCCACAGGAAGCGTTGCACTCTAAACGGCACCGCACAGCGGTACCCTTTAAATAACAACACCATCCAAGATACAGAACCGAAAGAAGCCGCTGTGCGTCGCCAGCCGCCAGACACGATCATTGGGCGAGTGCGTGCAACGCTTCCTTTGGCAGCGTGATGCGTTGCATGTGCGGCAAGTCGGCGGCATGATGCCAACGGTTGTTGCAACAGCGTCGCGTTGCCGTTCAGGCGCAATGCGGACAGCGGGCGGCTGGGCTGAATGAACAACATCCGATTTTGGTCAGCAAACATACATATATCAGAAATGAGTACACATAATACTGCAACCATTTTATATAATAATACTTTTACACATTTTTTTTTCACTTAATATTACATATATAATTTTTTGGAGGAAACAGAACTTAATGAAAAAGTATGGATATGTTGAACGGGCCCAACTGTCGACAGGCGGTGCGGTGGGCGTGGTAGTTGATTAAATAAGTTTTAGATTTACATGCATTTTATACGTTTAGACAAGGAAATAAATACAAACAGACAACAAAAAGAAACAAAACAAGCAGAAAATAAGTAAGAAGCGAAAAACAAACAAAAAATTTGATAAACAAACCCCATGAAAAATGGAAAATGCAAAATGCAAAACCAACCGCATTAACTAACAATTTCTTTAAAATAGTATATAATACATTCTTAAAATGTATGTCAAAAACATATACATATGATTAATGAAATGTATTACGAATATGATCTATTCTATATATATATACACTTAAATAACTTAACATAAATGTTTACGGAACTTACAAGATATTCATACGATATATAAACACAAGTAACCCCTCCAACAATGCACTAAAACGAAAAGAGATTTGCAAATACAAGAAGTTGCATAGTTTGTTGCATTCAGAAAGAAAAAAAATAAAATTACAAAAATCTTATAAATGTTTGTAGAACACAAGAGACAATTCAATAGAACACGTCAAAACAAAAATCCCCAAACACAAACTTAAATAAACGGTTTTTTCTAGAGAAGAAACCAAAAAAAAAAATATATATTTTTCTTATCTACGGTACAGTTGCGACAAAACGTCAATTGTTGCTGTCGTAACAGCTATGTGTGCGGTGTTTGTATTTGTGTATATATGTGTGTGTTGTGTGTGGAGAGCTTTTGTGTGGTCGCAGGTGCGGCAGTCAAAGGACTGGTGGCGCCATCTTTGGGTCAAACGCATTGCAGCTTGATGAAGCATGCAGTTTGTTTACTTTTTGTTGGTCGAACTAGTTTTCAAGAGACTTGATATTTACCATTTACTCACAAACATACATAAATACATATGTAAATCATGCCCTTGGAAACTAATCTCACGCAAGCATAAGAAACTGTATCTATATATGTATGTAAGTAAGCTGAGCTTATGCTAAATCTCGCCTACATGTACATATCTGACCTCGAGATAGATAAAAATGGGATTTTATAATTTGAAAGAGATTAAATTCAACAATCTTATGCAAATTAGATCTAGGCTTAACTTAATTGAAGTAGATAAGATTGTTCTTATAATTGTAATAATCACGCTTGTAGCGACAATTAGCAAATCGAAAGGGCGCATAGACTTGCAAATGCTCTGCCACGTGCTCATCAAAGGTATACAGTTATTGCATTTAAAGTACAATAATTAACATGAGCGAGTTCAAGGAAAATATATATTGCACATATATATTTCCAACAATTGAAGCTAGGTCTAGCTAAGTTGAGCTCCCCATCTGTTGCTATTCAAATATTGATGTAATTATTGAGCTGCTCCAATATGAAAGTGTTGCCACTTATTTTTATTTGCATTAACATTAAATATTTATTTATTGTTTGTTTGCATTCCTTAATGAGATATAGATATAATACAATTATCTGTTTTGTATAACGTTACAAATTGCATGAGAGCGCAGCGTGACTGCGCGTGGAAAGTGTATTGAAATGACAGCTGCGTTGCCAGCTGGCTGCGTTGATTGGCAGTGGCAGGGCTGCCAGATCGATCGGCCGCGTTGGCTTGCGCGTATTTAATTTTCCATTCACACTCACACAATGGACAGCAACAAGTTTGGCAAACTGCAGCAGCAATTTCTCTGCTGTTATCCCGTCAATAAGATGGCCTGGTCGGTAAGTAGTCGTGGGTTACTTGTAATTTCGAATTGTTGCCACTTGCTTGCCGTGCAGACGCTGGAGCTGCCGCTGGAACTGGAGGCGCAACGTGCTCTGATCGCTGCCACCTGTGGTCATCCGTTGAATCAACGGTACCCGGTGCGCCGTAGCTATCAGGAGGCGTTTGTGAAGCGCCTGATGCACCTGCTCAAGGATCACGAGGAGATGCACGACGACATCTACGACAGCCTGTGTGGCCAGCTAGCCAAGGCAACCATAGACGCCTCCACAACTACGGCTGCATCCCAATATGCCTACAAGCACTACATGCTGCAGCCGGATAAGTATATTACGCTGCGTGAATCCACAAGCTTTGTCAGCGAGGGCACCACCGGCCTGTGCACCTGGGAGGCGGCTTTGGTGCTGGCCGACTATCTCCTGGCGCATCCCAGCCTGCTGCAGGGCAAAAATGTTTTGGAACTTGGCGCCGGCGCTGGCCTGCTTGGCATTCTGCTCAAGCAGCCGGCGCTGCAGCTGCCCGTCGGCCAGGTGCTCATCACCGATGGCAGCGCCGCCTGCGTACAGCTGATGCGCGAAAACATTGCGTTAAATTTTGGCGATCCAAGCGATGCGGCGACACCGCAATGTGCACAGTTGCGCTGGCATGAGATCACCATGTTTCCCTGGTCGGAATATGCTTCACCCGATCTGCTGCTGGCCGCCGATGTCATCTACGATGATACCCAATTCTCGGCCCTGCTCGAGGCGCTCGACGCCATCTACGAGCTGCGCGGCAATCGCTGCGAAATGCTCCTGGCCAGCACCGTGCGCAATGTGGATACCGTGCACGAGTTCATGCAGCAACTGGGTGAGTTCAACTGACAGGACGAATCGAACTGACTGCCTGGCTTAAGGTTCGGTTCGTGAAGTCGCTTTGAAGCATCCATGAAGCCAGGCGTTGACTTAAACCTTCGTTTGTCATCTAAATTCGAATGAAGCAATTTAATTTTTTATTTTAATTTGCCCGTTCTACTGAAAATATTGCAAGCCATAAATATTTTCATAAAGAAGTTGCGGGCGATTTTTGAATAAGACAGTTCTGTTCGGCTTTTAGTTCGACCAACTTTGTACCGATTGGTTTGGTTTTACTTTCGGTTAATAGGAATTCCGATTACGAACCATTTCGGTTTAAAATTGATTTGCAATATGAGATATTGAATATATCAAAGAGTTGCCGGCTTGGAGCTCAGTATCATGTAGTTGCTGAAGGATCATTTTTTGTACACAATTCTTTTTTGCTTTCAAAGATATTTATATTTTGATTAGAGCGAGTGAAAATTGGACAATAGTGTGTAATATATAGTTCTTGTACTCTGATATCCTGAGAAAATGTGTATGGTGCTATATTATAAAGTTGTCAGAGGAACAAGCGAACAAGGGATCGTTTAGAAATTCCTTGCATATGTGCTATAGATATGTATATATGTATATATATATATATATATAGAGTATACATTATCAATCTTAACATATAAGTTCTATATATACATGATACACTGTGATTATGTGAGCGCAGGCAAGTTTATTGAGTTTTTGGTCCCGTGTTAGAAACAGTTTAGCTGATAAACTAATGAGTGTGTTTGTATTTTTACTTGCAGAGCAACATCGATACCAGGTAACGCCCTGTGCGAATGTCTCGACCTGTGCCAGCCATTTCTGTCGGGATCAGACGGCCGCCGTGCAGATTGTGTGCATTAAACGTTAGAACTAGCTTTAATTAAACTAAACGAAAACAACAACAACAAAAAAGTAATACCAAAAAAACAACAACAACAACAACATTAAGAACAAGAACAAGAACAATGTGAACATGTGTGAGCAAGTGCATCATTGATTGATGGTCGGTATGGTGCCATCGTTTAGCCAGCGCACATTCAGCTGCTCGATCTGATGCTTCATAAAGATAATGCCATACACCTCGTGCTGTATATCCAACAATTTGCTGCGGTGCGTGCGCGGCACCTTCATGCCAACGACCAGCGCCAGCAGAGACGTTATAATCATGTATACAAATCCCTGGGCGATCAGCGTGCTCTCATCCTTGGCATAGAAGTACGAATTATTCACATTGGCCACAAAGTAATAGTACACGATGCTGGTGCTGACCAATTTGAGTGTGTAGGAGACAAAGATGATGCATTCGGTGAAACGCAGATGCGTTACCTCCAGCAGAACAATCTGCAGACTGGAATAACCCATGCCGAAGAGCACCAGGAGCAGCCAGAAAGTCACCTTGGAGCTAGTCGCGCTGTATATAATCATTGCCAGCACCGTGAGCAGCAGCAGCAGCAGTTGCGTGGTCACAA